CACTTATTTATAACGAAATCAGGACAGCAGATCCTCTTTAACTCGTCAAGACATAAAATCAAAACTTCAAAGAATGTGATTATGCTTACTCCAATGAATAGACCCAATTGTCCTCCTATATCTCCCAGCAAACCTTCAACACCAAACGTGTATGAAGTAGTGACCACGCTGTATCGTAAATCATTGATATAGATGTTAATTGATAGGTAATTCTTTCTTAAATAGTCTTCAGTGACATTCTCATCTCTCATTAAATCTTCTAATATGAATGAGTTAGGATAGCTAGCATAGCTTGTGGTGTAGTCATAGTACTTGTATCTACAAGGCAGTGGGCATTGCTCCTCTGTATTGATGGTCTTGTACTCATTCAGTAAGCAGCATGAGGTGGGGAAGGTGCAGTTAGGGGTGTGGTCATACTCTCCATTCGATGGCCTCCTTGGTAGCAGAGTGCAGTTGCATACGTTAGGCTTTGCTATTTGTTTAATGAGGGCATCTTGTGCACAGGCATACTGAGAGTAGTCATAATCCTCAAAGAAGACAAGATCTTGTCCTGCAGTGCAATTCGCTTCTTTCGTCTCGTCAATGTATTCTTTTAGATTGACTCCAACATTGATTGCTTGACCTGGTGCTACATTGATACCATTGACATTCGGTCTAGCCACATCTTTCCCATCATGCACGGAAAGTATAACTCCTGCTTTACCATTGTACGAGGGTCTGAGATCCTGCTCTATATTTAGGACAAGCTTCATGCCATATCTAGTCCCAGTACTGTGAATAGTGTTACTGCTGCCGTTGTAATTGAAGCATATTCCAGCTGGAGTCAGGACTGGCTGGAAAAGGCTCTTACAATTGGAGACGTTGCTATTAACGCCAGTCACAAACCCACAGTAATGTATGAGCCTTCTCTTAGATCGAGCTGGTCTTTGTATATTCCATATTGTTGCTTCAAAGGTTGCGTCACTGTTATTCCTGGGGACTGTGTTCCTACAGTTTGAAATGACTGAGGAAGCATTCATGCTGTTGGAGTGAAAGCTCTCGTCCGCATTGAACAGCTGGTTCATGAGGTTGTACGTACGACTGAGCAACGGAAGAGCCTCATTCTTCTCAAAGTTGATATTGCAAATGGTCACACTTGGGAATGGGACACCATTAAGAGTGACGACGTTAATGGTAGAAGCTGTTGGTTTGTTTAGAAATATCTGTATGCTTAGACTGATGAGAGCTATGCAGCTAATGATGGCAGCAATGAAGATCAGAGCCCAAAACGACCTCCTCACTTTAGACTGACCTTTAAAGACGTGACTGATGCCAGCTATTGTGTTATCTTCAAGGAACTCCCCTCAAGTAGCGATCAGTGCAAGTACAAGTACAGTTCTTGCA